TGTTAAAAGACAATATTGGTATAATTTTAACACACAGATCATTGCTACGGTAGATGCGTAACCAAGATTTGAAGAAAGGGAATTGACACGAAAAATGGAAAACAATAGTTATCCTTTTATATAATTAACTGAAGTGACAGTGATAACAGATACACGGCCGAATTTCTGCTCACTGATAATCCCTTCGAAGACGAAAAGTTGTTATATGAGACTGAGAGGATATCTGACAATAAAAAATATTATCTGAATGTCACAAGATAACAGAAAAATAGAACAGGCCCGTACATTCACTTGTTTCTAATCATTTTGTACTTAATAAAAACATGGAAATGCAACCCACTGATCTGCGATTAAGCCCATTTATGACCTTGTCTTTTTTCAGTTTGTTTTGCTCTACGAGCTTACAGTCCTAATGACCAGTATTATCCATTTCCATTGGCAAGAAAAGGATTTAACACCATGAATGTAACCAGCTTTAGGTTTCTAGTAAAGGCATGCAGCAACGCTCATGTAGTTTTACAAGAAGACGATGTGATTCATCTGACAACTCCAGGAAACTTGGCATTTATAATTGGGTCTAACAGAAATACCAATAGTGAAATCAGATCTGCTGTAGATACACAAATGCAGCCATATGCTGTTCATCAGGAAGTTCTCCTCGATTGCTTAGAGTTTCGCCCATTTTCGATTAGTTGGAAAGATGGACTGCTCAAACTAGGAAAGGGAGACACAATTGATATGAATTTGTTAGCAGTCCATCAGATGACTTCCTCATACGAAATCAACTATGCCTTTCTGTTAACTGGATGGGGTAGTAATGGCTGTTGGAATATAGGTAAGATAATTTTTATATTGGTTTGATAAGATATTTAATGCAAATCAATGTTGTTTTATGACCACTTATTACTATAATGCCGTGCATTGTCTGTGCAATCACACTTCGGATATATTGTAATGGGCGCATGTGATGATTTGTTGAGAGATTTGAAAATCAATGCGTTAACTCGGATTATGGTGATATGTTTATTGTTAAAACTAACATAATCCCTGATTCCTTGACTAAAGATTATCAGCTTTGGGCGTGACTTGTTTCAAGTCTGATCTTTTATGTTTTCGATGTATAGTGGTGAATGAACGCCCATGGGCTCTCGACACCGAAGGAAGTACACGAATCGAAACCTTTAAATGCTTTTAATTTCGGATATGATGAAATGTGGTGCCCGTATACAACTGTTTTTATACACCCACATTTTCATGTGGGCGTATATTGTCGCCCCTGTACACCCGCCCTTTCACATTTTGCTTGTGGACACTACAATTTTATCCGATTTTGACGAAACTTGAAATATAGGTTTATCACCCAATGACCTCGGTTCCTTTTGATATTTGCGCATATTGGACCTACCTTCCTGGATTATGGCCCCTGATTGTCATACGTATTATTTGTTGCATTAGTTGATTTCATTCCACATTTAATTGTTTTGGTGGTTTCAAGCTTAATCAAGTGGACGTACTCACGTTTACTAAAGTAGGTGCAGGAGTTAGAAAACGGCATTTGGTTGATTTAAGTCAGAGTCGGGTACGTGGTGGTAAAAATGTCAGTGGCAATGCATTATCCTTCTCGTTCATTTATGCTGTTTTACAGACGCTGGTACGGCGATGCTGGCTTCTAAATGGAAGCAGTTGCCAGGAAACAAGAAACTCCTTGGTACGAAGGTGTTAAGTTACCATACCAGAAGCCAGATGAATTGTAATCTGAAATGTGCGTCACCTACAGAAGATTTGCCATGTGGATGTGTGGCATATAGTTATAATAAGTTAACTAGACAATGTTTAGTTGTTGATGAGAGTGATGACGTCACCATGGCGGATGAAGCAGGCTGGAAAACATGGAACCTAGAGTAGAAAGAACAATTGTGACGTGATGTCCTAGTTATAAAAACAAATTTGCTTATGCTTAAATGTAGACAATAAGTTGCTCGAAAAAGAATACAAGACACGTGTGCACTGACATGGGGGCATATCCCAAATCAAAACATAATGAAATGCAATTAGCCATAATATACCGGTTAAAACAATTAGCCGTAATATACCGACTAAAACAAATGGCCGTAATATACTGGTTGAAACAATTATCTACAATAAAACTTGAACAACATAACTAAAGTATCATATACTATTTAAAAAGATGTTATTTCTATTATGTTGCCAGATTTAATGGCCTCGTGGATTAAATTCGCGCCTATATTGGGATTTTCAGGTCGGACATTTCACAGTGTACTACAGTCCCCGGGAATACCGATTCAGAGTTTTGGAAATGTAATGGGCTTTAATGTACTACTAAAGTAAAGCGTATTCCCGGAGAAAGGGTTTGTTTACAAGTTTATCAAACTTTTCGAGATTGCTTGTTTGAATTCAATAAATCATACCTTTACTCATTAGATAAGTTAACTTTGACAATTAGTATCAGTCGTCACATTTTTGTTTAAAAACCTATAACTATTAGTTAGATTATATATGTTAGTGTAAATAAATTTAAATTTATGTACTTATTACTTGAAATTATGAAACTCAATAGCATTTTCGGGTATAGTTAAGTTTGTAAATTGTATATTTATTTCATTTCCAATTGCTGCATTAGTTCTTCTGGACGTTGTGTAGCCAGGACGCCAACTTCAGATGGCCACAGTATACCATTTCCCCATTGACTCTAATGTTAATTATCTTCTCTTTGACCAGCTCTAACGTTTTTTGAATATTTTATTCGGTTGAATGTTTTCTACCACAAATGGAACTCAAACGCCTGTACGAGGTTCTTGAGATACACAAACTGGAAGTAGCACACTAGTAAACATGATAGTAAACATGCAACTGTCCCCCCTACATTCCATCCTAAACAACCTCGTATCTTTCCACCCCTAAATCATTACAGAAAATGTATATTTAAATCCATTTTCTTTTGATTCTTGCCCCCCCACCCCCCACCCCCCAAAGCAAATAGGGGTTGTGGGAGGGGGGGGGGAGACAATTCGTAGAAATGAATAGTGAGAGTACGGCTATTAATAATTTTCGCTCTATATTCGTAGGAATTAATGGTGTTCTGTGTCCTATATAATACTAAAGTGAGTTAAATAATGTATGTTCCATAATTATTCTTTTGTTTTTAAAAAAAAAACATGTATGCGCATGATATTTCTTATATTTTATGTCAACTTTTATGGCTAAGCAAATTGAAACATTTAAGATCTCCTTGTGTTATTTGCCATTTTTGAAAAATATAAAATTTTCCATGGCATAATCAAACTTAAAATGTACGTAATTTTTTACCATTTATATTTAAATCAAATATACACGATGGATTATCTCCCGTTAATAGGTATGTTAATATTAATTACATTTACCCATTTGTCCATTTTCAATTATTGCAGGTAAAGAATTATTGTAATATTAAAAAAAATGTCTTCTTTGGATTTAATAGGTAAACTTAATCTCATAAGAATGTAATTATTCGATCCAACTCTTCGTTAAATGTTTAGGCGTCATGGCTGTTAGCTGTTATTGGAATTGTTGACAAGGTAAATCGGTGTTATCAGAAACTATTTCGGACGAGTATTGACTAAAATGGTTCCGACAAACCATACTTAGGTATCTGGAATCATTTAAAAGTAATTATACTTTATTGTGTCATTATGTGATTTATTAAACAAATTGCTTTCTTTTCTTGTTTTTAAATTTGTTATTTTCCTATTTTGGGCTAAATCATGCCATCTGAAGTATGATAAAATAGAAGAGTAAGACGCTTTTCAATTTGACATGTTTTGTCCGGGAGGTACCTCGCAAACTAATTACTTCAAAAATGCATTATTTAGATTAGTAAAACGAAAAGACCTATATAATATCAACAGATACATATTAAACCTATACAGTTATGGCCATTGGTTGACTTTGTTGGACCTTGTGAACGCTCTGACGACAAAAGTTAGTATCTGGTCTGTCTTGTAAATGCACCCATTGCCTACAAAATAATAGATATGCGACTGCCGGACAAAGTAGCTGCTGTGGGCAAATGTTTCGTTGGCTGGCCAACATCTTATATGGCTATATCTATAAACTAAAGTTTGAAGTACTGACATGCGTTTGGGGATTGTTAATCTCTTGCAAACTACAGCCTTGTGAAATTTGAATCTTCAGAAAGAATATCAGTCGGGCTACACTAAACACCGAAATAAATCCGAAAAAACGTTTTGGATGATATTATGGTACCGAAAAAATCCGGAAAAACCCTAAATACCGAAAAGTCACTAAATACCGAAAAGTCACTAAATACCGAAAACAAACAACAATAATTACCGAAAATAACCTAGGCCACACATAACAAACAAACAAAAATCGCATAAAATTTATGACCTCTAGCGCATCATGTCCACAAGCTGAAAACATGATTGTTCGTACAATCAGGGGCCATAATACATGACGTTACGGTCCAGTACATGCCATTCCCGAAAGTAACCGAGATCTGTGGGATATAAACCTATATTTTAAGTTTCGTCAAAATCGGATAAAAAATGTGACCTGTAGAGTGCCCACAAACAAACTGTGGACGAACAGACGGACAGGGGCGACGACAATATACGTCTACATGAAAATGTGGGCGTATAAAAATTGTTAGGTGGGTCATGGGTCAGGCTAGGTCACGCATAAATATAGTGGACACTCTAGATTGGTCATGGATCACAATATGTCCCCACATAAGACTTGTGGTGCACTGGGGTGGGGTGGGGCATGGGTCAAGCTAGGCCACTTATTATAAATGTGGGGCACTCTAGGTGGGTCATTGGTTAGAATTTTTTTTTTCAGACGGACAGTTCTCCCATTTACAGTATTCAGCGCGGCATTTTCTTCAATAAACTATAGTTATGAACCATCCCAATGCAGTTTGAAAGCATTCTTCAATGGCTTTTTATCTTTTATGTTTTGTTTGGTGTCCAGTCTTCAACCAATCGTCGATATGGCAAGTTTGAAAGTCGGAGCCGCCTACATGTTCATCGAATAAGTTTCAGTCTCCTCCTAATAAATGGCCATATACTACACGCATAAAAAACTGTAAAACGGCTCAGGACTGCACTCACTGTAATACATGCAAACGTTGTTTTCATTTTACATGTGCACATATTAAAGACCGTATTACGGCCTAAGGAAAGGCGGGTTATTTTTCGTGTGGACTTTGTTCGTTTAGTGATGACTTGACTTTCAACTATGACGGATCATTGCTCAGGTGAGTAGAGTATTACTAGTTTCATTTGAAAATTTAATTCTTGTAATCACCGAGTGAAAGTTTTAGATATTAGCCAGAACATTTAACTGGATTACGTCCATATGACGCTGGCGAAGCACGCTCCCAAAAAGTCTTTGGATGAACTTAGGCAATTGTTGCGGGGCTAACATACGGTTCAAATTTATTTCTATAATTCGCTTGCGTGTAGGGGTCTTAGGAAGACCCGGAGAAAACCCATAATGTTGGAAAGGCGACCCTACTCCTTGTCACGTACAAGTGAGAAATCGAAACCACGCCACTTGACCCAATGACAGACCTTATGGTTAGACCACAACATTAATTGAGAGAGAGAGAGAGAGAGGGATGGGTTTAACGTCCACTCGACACAAACTAGGTCATTTCGGGACTAACATATGGTTCAATTTTATTTCAATAATTCGCTTGCGCGATGGGGTCTTTACCAAAGGGAGGACCCGAAGAAAACCCACGAGGTTGGACATGCAACCCTACTCCTTGTCACGTACAAGCGGGGAATCGAAACTGCGCCACTTGACGCAATGACAGACCTTATACCACATAAAGAATTGAGGTGTATATTATGGTAAGCTGTACCACATAAAGAATTGAGGTGTATATTATGGTAAGCTGTACCACATAGAGAATTGAGGTATTATGGTAAGTTATACCACTTAGAGAATTAAGGCGTCGAAACAACACTATATAGATATTACAATTTTGTATAAATACATATTTAATGTGCATCCGATTACTAGACAAACATGATAGTAAAACATAAAATATTTATAGTTTTGTTGTGGATTATGAAAGATGATCAAAGCGAAATGAAGGGATCTATTTCTTGTTTCTCGTGGTCCGTATGTATGACCGTGTGAATTTCTAGTGAATTCTTGTCTGCACCTGTGCATGTTAAAGATCATCTGATCATCAATAGAATTGAATTCGATGTATTCACTAAAAATTTAAAAGGCCTGTGTTGGTGTTTTGAATAAACATAAATTTATTATTATACTGAGCGAGAATGCGTCAAACAGGTCATAGAAAATTCAAGTTTTTCATATTCAATAATATGTTAATATCCGTAAACGTGTTAAAATATGTTTCCGTTGTATTATTTGATGTTGTTTATGAATCATAACCAACACTATTCATCATTATACAACAACCATGTATCTGTAACATGACCTCTGTCGGTGAAGTGAAACATTTGAATAGTAAAGTTGCAATAATAATGAAATACAATTAGCCGTAATATACTGGTTAAAACAATTATCCACAATAAAACGTTAACCACATAACTAAAGTAGCATATACTATTTAAAAAGATGTTATTAGTATTACGTTGCTAGATCTAATAGCGGTTTAATTTCAAATTCTAAACAGGAGGTGTTTATCGATGTAGCCCAAAATATTTAACATTTTTCTTGGAATTCTTTCTTTCGCGATAGTTGACGGTCGTTTTTTGGTTTTAATGACGTAAATACCAAGGAAAACAATTTTGACGTAATGAAAAGATCGAAACAGAAATTGTAAGTGTATTTTATGTACTTTTTAAATGATTTTGAACTCCAGCAGTGACTAGGTTCGAAATAAATTGCATATCATGTCCATACACTCGTGTGATCGTGTAGATATATGCTGTGTATCGTACGCGCGTGGTTGCTATGCTTGTTTACGTTGTCATTTCGACGCTGTGATTTTTTTTTTCTTCGCAAAAAACCCTGGCTTGTGTTGTGTATGAAAATTAGTCTCTGTCCTATTCATATCAGTGTCAGCCCGACTTGTATATTTTCTAAAACATATCCCAATCAGTTATTTACGGTCCATACGGAGTTCAATAAATTGTAGTATTTTTATTGACTTGTTGAAAATCTTTGATTTTGACCAGTCTGATTATGATAGAATGACCATAGCAACCATTATGGTCAGACCAGCCTTGAAATGAAATTTACCCATTATGATTCAAATACACTCACTATCTTTGTTTTTTGTATTTCAGGTGTGTGTTTCAATAAGCCAATGGTTGAATTTCATTGTTGATGACATACAAGAAAAAATTCATGAAGATTTCCTAGAATAAAGTTTTGAGGTGTAGAATTTTTGGCCACTGCAAACAGTCTAGCACACAGAAAATATTCATTCGCAGTGAGTCGCCCAGAAAATTTAGAGGACTGTTATACTCATTCGACGCCACTTTTCGACCAATCAAAATCCAAGAAATTTCCATTTTGGGCTACAATAGCGGTTTAATTTCTCTGTGATTTTCAGGTCGTACATTTCATAGTGTACTACAGTCCCCGGAAATTCCCGATTGAGAGTATTATAACGGTTGTTAATAATTTCATCAAAATGACAAAATCGTTTTTGAATAAAACATTTATAAATTTTGATGTTAAGTTTGGGGATAGACTCATACATAACAAACACAATGAAAAATAATATTGTTCGAAAGGATCATTTGTCACAATAATGTGAGCATATGACAAGTTTGAATCTGATGCATGATCCATGAACAGTTTATAGTTGACATTGATATATTTAACACTTGTGATAAGATATGAACTGAAATGAGATTTATCTTCCTACTTTTCTGCATCGACTGGGTAAATGAAGGCGGGAATACACCTCGCAGTGCGCTATGAGAGACATTTTGCTCGAGATCGGCACTACGAGCTACGAGTAGGGTGACCCATGTACTCACAGAAATACAGTCCACCGCTGATAGTTCGAGACTACCACTGAAGCGTGCACATTCGCTTTGCCGAGACCAACTTTCTGACAGTATGATACTATAAATAGCCATGGCACGTGCAATTCTCTACAAATCTATCAACTATTACAGCCGTAAAAAATTTATTGTTGACGATTTTGAATAGCAGTTAAATTAAGCTTCTTGGTTATTACAGCAGATTTAGAAATTACGTTCGTTTCATTTTTTAAATCGCTTTATCATTAACTGTACCGTTAAGAGCGGCATCTTTTGGTTTAGTACAAATAATATCTCTGAATCACTCGGGTTAGGCAGGAACATGATACTAGCAGTAGTTTCATTTTACTTTTACAAGCTTTTTAAAACGATTGTTGAGCTACCTAACGTGCTTATTTCTAAATTCAATTTCTTGTTCTAACTTTCTGTTACGTTTCGTAAAAAAGTAGTCTTGATTATCCCGACCTGTCAATCAGACGTAGAATGGTCGATAGACTGGTTAAGCGAGACTAATTTCAAAACAAGGGCACGTAACCTATCTTTTACTCAAAAGTGTCTGGATGTTATGGACGACTCTTGGAACCAGTTTTCAGTCTATTATTTATACATGATTAATGGTCATAGCTTATTAAGTACAACATGATCGTTTATTTAGTGACTATAATTGTGTGAAACTGATTTGAGGCTTGGCATATATATAAATATTGTGGCGTAATTGTCGAGATATATGGAGATATTTATTTATGGTGGGTCACCCTACTACGAGCACTCCAATATGTACCCGGGGCTTCGGTGTTTCTTCCAATCTGAACGTATATACGTTGCCAGCAGCCAGGTTCCTTGTTTCACGACACTGCCAAGGGGGAACTTATTCCTCCATTAATTACTCACAGCGCCACCGCGACCCCACAATGATATGGGGACACCGAGGTAGACAGTGTCGCGTGATGGGTACCTTTTGAAACATGTGATACCACTTCTCCTTTTAGGGGTTTACATGGCAAGCACATTTTACTGCACTTGTATCTAGTCCATTTTGGCAAAGAATCAATCCCCGTCTTCACTATCCCGGTCAGTGATATATCTTATCAATCTGTTTCACAGAGAATTACGAGTCTCGTATAATATCTCTGTCATAGATGACTGCCTTAACACGTGCTGTCACAGCACGCTGTGTGAATCATTGGCTGAATGGCGCGTGCATTGTTTACATAAGACATAACTGCTTCGGAGAAAATGCTGCATTTTAGTCATTTTAATACCCATTTACACTAAATCGGAAATAATTTTTAACTACAAATACGTCAAACGCCTTTATTTATTTTTCCAATATATACAAAAAATGTTTTAGAATTTAATTTGTCGCAGGAAAAAAGTTAATATTTCTAGCTCATTAAGCCGCATCAATGTCATCCTTATCAGTGATTGTCGCGGCCAAGCAAATATTCACTGCGGATCAGTATTATCTTATATATGATGAAGAATTATACTTAAAGATACATTATGTAACATACAGAGCTATTATAGTTCAAAAACAGATAATGTAAAATGAATACATTGAAGATTGCATTCAAATTACTTTATTCTGAGCGATGTTATGACTGTTTGGAGTGTGGCATTGATTGTTTATCATCGTAACAACAGTACTTGTTATTTCCATATTTGTATGTTCACATTATGCCTCGCCCCTGTGTGTGTGTGGGGGGGGGGGGGTATGAAAAATGAAATAAGTGACAGAAATAAGTTTTTATTTCTGCCATATCTAAACTTAATTTACTATAATTACTATGATTATAAATATTTATTTAATTTTCATAGTTTCTAACAGTATGAATGGAGGTAAATCTACAGGAAAGCGGAAACTAGATGAAAATAGTAACTACACAGTTTTGGACCTAGATTACATAATGTCCACATTATGCCTCGCCCCTGTGTGTGTGGGGGTGGGTGGGTATGAAAAATGAAATAAGTGACAAAAATAAGTTGTTATTTCTGCCATATCTAAACTTAATTTACTATAATTACTATGATTATAAATATTTATTTAATTTTCATAGTTTCTAACAGTATGAATGGAGGTAAAGGTACAGGAAAGCGGAAACGAGATGAAAATAGTAACTACACGGTTTTGGACCTGGATTACAAGGTACTTAATTACTTGTCTCTCCTTCTGTTTCACAGGTTTATAGTTTATGGTGTACGCTGTTAGTCCGACTACTATTATCGTTTTTAAAAATGAACCGGGATGATGTGGACGTCAGGTTTGAAAATGATCTGGGATGGTAGGAACGTCCGTTTGAAATTGACACCGGGCGAGGGCGAGGGGGCGGGGGGGGGGGGCAGCATCGGGTTATAAAATGACCTGGAAGGATAAGATTGCAGGGTTTTAAAATGACCTGGTAGAGCAGGAATGTTGGGTTTGAGAATGACCCGAGATTTTAAAATGACATGGGAGGGTAACTGTCAGGTTTCAAAATGATTTGGGAGGTTAAGAAACGCAGGTTTTAAAATGATTTGGGAGGATAGGAAAGTCAGGTTTCAAAATGATTTGGGAGGGTAGGGAAGTCAGGTTTCAAAATGATTTGGGAGGTTAAGAAAGTCAGGTTTTAAAATGACTTGGGAGGTTAGGAAAGTCAGGTTATAAAATGATTTGGGAGAGTAGGGAAGTCGGGATTTTAAATCACTTGGGAGATTAGGAAAGTCAGGGTTTTAAATGAGACGGTAGGAAAGTCAGGGTTTTTAATGGCTTTGGAGGATAGGAAAGTCAGGGTTTTAAATGATTTGGGTAGATAGGAAAGTCAGGGTTTTAAATGAGACGGTAGGAAAGTCAGGGTTTTAAATGACTTGGGAGAATAGGATTGTGGAGTTTTAAAATGATCTAGTTGTAGAGGAAGTCTACAGAAACTGATTTCTATTGGTAGAGATCTTGAAGATTGAGCATATGCTTTGTGTGCCATTTTTAGAAGACAAAAAAAGATCTGTTGGTAAAATGAGGTTAACAAATATTCACATTCTGTTTGTGGGTCTGACTATAAAACTTATCATTCTCACCATATAATTTTGAATGGTATAGTCCAAGGGGTTTAACTTGTTTTAAAATAAAGATGTGACGCCATCCTTTGACATTCGCGTACCATTATTTCAAATAATGGTACGGGCAATGTGCCAAGCGTAAATTATTTATACTAGTTGCAATATTGAACTCACTTGACGTATTTCATTGAAATGCACGTGCTGGATAGTGTCTGTTTAATGGTCTCGTGCAAGATATTGCGTAATATATAGTTGTTGCCCTAGTGCTATCGCACTCATACAATATCCATATATTACTTAATATCTCGCACTCGACCATTAAACTACACTTATTTCAACCGTATAGGAGTTTAATGGAATAGATTTTTATACGCCCACATTTTCATGTGGACTTATTTTGTCGTCGCCCCTGTCCGTCCGTCCACAATTGTTTGTGGACACTCTAAAGGTCACAATGTTTATCCGATTTCAACGAAATTTATGCTTACATCAGAAAGGTCTTGCTTGCTTTCGGTATCTGATGGCCCTTGATGTTACGAAAAATCGCTTTTTGTTTAGCTTGTTCTCTATCCATCTCTTAAAAATGTGGGCGTATCCTGCCTGGCAGCCGCTGGTTAAATTGTTTTATTTCTTCTGTACAGGTATTTAATGATCCTATTCACGGCCATATTGAAATCCACCCCCTTTGTATGAAAATTATTGATACACCAGAATTTCAACGCCTACGCTATTTAAAACAACTAGGCCCTTGCTATTATGTCTTCCCGGGTGCATCGCATAATAGATTTGAGCATTCCATAGGGTAAATATGTTATAATTTTTATATTCTCTATAGAATACTAATATAATGATCTAAAAAAAGTGAATTGAAATGATTTGGGTTTAAAGTCCTACTGTTCTGTACCGACTGAGCTAGCGAAGATGGGCGTTATGCCATACATTGTACTAGGAAGGCAATTATTGTACTAGGAAGTCAATTTTTCCCGTCTTTATTATTCCTGTCGGTGCAGAAAAGTAGGACGATAAACCCGATTTGCTTTCATTTTTCTCCTCAGTTTTTTCAATTCCGTGTGATAATGTCTGGTAATGTCTTTCTTTCGGCTTTTATATAAATTATTTTTTAAAAATTGATTCACTTGATAAGTCTATAATCAACTTGCTAACCCATCGGGTGGCCGAGATTTAAATGGATTTGAACACCAGCGAGATTTAATTTTTTTAAAGATAACATGGATAATCGTAACTAGTCTCGTTTGTCAAGTACGATCTTGGAAACATCTTCAAACAGTCATCCAGAATAAATTAATCGTAATGGAATTTTCAATATATTCATTTTTCATTATGTAGATAGTATAGTTTATCTAAATCCTACCTAATGCACCTTTAAGCAATAATTTGCTTTCTATTTTAGTGTTTGTCATCTTGCTGGTGAAATGGTTTGTAGACTTCAAAAACAACAACCAGAGCTTGGTATAACGGATGTCGATGTTTTATGTGTCAAAATAGGTGGTCTGTGTCATGACCTGGGTAAGATTTTACATGTTAGTCTGAACATGACCTGGGTTGAATGATATTTATCTAATGTTGGGTTGAGTGATTTTTTGACAGTTGATTACTGATTTTTAGAAATAGGTAGGCATATATCACGAGGCCTAGTATTAATTTAATTATACAGATTTTCACAAAATAATGTGAGATATCCTACCTGCATATCGTGACTTTTTCTTTTGAGAACTAATCAACCTTTTAAAAGAAATATGTAGGTCTATACTACGAGGCCTAGTATTATATTAATTATATACAATCTTCATAAAAAGTTCTGAGAGAATTCTGCCTTCATATCATGACTATTTTTTTTAGAGCTGATCACTGTTTTATACGTGGGTAGACCTATGCTATGCGGCCCAGTAGGCCTATATCATTTTAACTTTACAAATCTTCACAAAATGCAGTGAGATATTCTGTCTCCATATCGTGACTTTTTTCTATTTTGACAGCTGGTCATTTTTTCTTAGCAATAAATAGGTCCATATCATTAGGCTTAGTATTATTTGATTTTTACAAATCTTCACTAAATGCTTTGAGATATTCTGCGAAACTTTTTTTTTTGAAAGCTGATCATTTGTAGACCTATATCATGAGGCCTAGTTTTATTTATTTTATTTTAACAAATCTTTGAAAATTGCTGTGAGGTCGGTCTCTTGGTATTCTAATATACTAAACCATAAAATGAAAAAAAGGTACTAAAGTACAATGAGTATCGGCTCAGTCGCTCAATGGGTAAAATAATTCGAACATATTCTTTATTGTTTGCCAAATTAACTACTTCTTGAACCAAAACACCCTCCACGTGTGCTGCTACGCCTACTGCCATTTTTGCCCATCCTCCCTGCGCTAAAAACCTGAATATTGCCCCACTGTCATATGATAACGTATGGCACCGACTCAACAAATTCTGGGAATTCCATTGACTATAAATAAACAGAAGACATTTATTATATACTGGAACACATCAAAATAAGAAAAACAATCAATATGAATATCGTACAGAGATAAAGTACGGACGCCACAATATTTACATTATTACACATTTAAAATATTATTATTTGATATCCGAGACGCCTCGATGTAATTTAGATCGGGTATTTAGGTTAAAGAGCAAATGGGTAATCTTTTTATTCATAACTTTACCTCGTTTACCCCGTCTAATTCCAGAAAATAACTTGCCTCTTCCATTACTCAATGCACGACTGTATTATGCCGAAAGTCACTTGTGCCAACTTCTCTTCGCATAGACGTTGCACAACATACCGCTAAACTCTTCGCTTGGACATTCCATCAGTATATATTTCTATGGTTAAATGATACATATCTAATGTTGGGTTGGTTCGCGATTTCAGGTCATGGTCCATTCTCGCATTTGTATGACACTAGATTTATACAGTCAGTTAATCCGGGCTCTAAATGGACCGTGAGTAATCTACTTTACATACCTCTAGATTATAATTCCCATAGAAGCTATTGATGTTTACATGCCTCAAGACTATATCTCCCATAGCAACTACTGATGTTTACACACCTCCAGACTATTTTTCCCATAGCAACTATTAATGTTTTACACACCTCCAGACTATATCTCCCATAGCAACTATTGATGTGTAAACACCCCCTGACTATATCTCCCATAGCAGCTGTTGGTGTTAACACACCTAAAGGCTATATCTCCAATGGTAATTATGGATGTTTACATATCTCCAGACTATATCTCCCACAGCAGTTATTGGTGTTTACACCCCCCTCCCCAAAAAAAAAAATATATCTTCCATAGCAACTATGGATATTTACATACCTCCAGACTGTATCTCCCATAGCAACTATTGGTATTTTAACGTGGATATGGTAAACAGTGGCTGATACTAGGTGATAATCTTTATAGTTTCTGTGGATGTGTAAGTTAGATAGCAACCTATTTCCACGGTTGTTATTCGAATAAAACCTACCAAGGATATATTTAGTGGTTGATCAACCTGGGACAAAAATCAGACGCCTGAACATTTTTTTTCAAAAACAACAGACTATCACTATTACTTGGTAAGGATCATCAACTACAGTTGGGAGTGACGGTGATTCAATGAGTAAGGAGCTAGATAGCTAATCAGGAGTTCGGGTTCGTCCCTGGGGTTGGCCGAGAAAGTTCTTCTGGATTTTCCAGCCTGGTTTCGTCCTGTCAGTGGTGCTGGGCGTGGCAAGGAGCAGGATCTAATCGTTAGTATGAGACGAACTAATGAGGTGCTGTATTCACGTTGATGTTCTCTCGTAAAAGAAATTTTGGCCGTTGGAATTCGATGAAGTCCAAGGTGAAATGTTGCCTGATCAACAATTCCCCTCATAGCACACTTCGTGGTGTATGCTCTATTCATTAGCCCTCTTGGTGCAGAAAAGTAGGACGTTACACAACACTAAACAACAAAATCAAAAACTTAATGTTTAGTTTTTCACGGTCTTGATATTAACAATGGCCACTTGGGTCTTGTGGACAATTAATTTGTTTCCAATTTCTAAACATTAAAATATGGACACGAAAACCTTTGAGAAGAGCAAACAATTATGTTTTTATTAAAAAATCACAAGATAAGAAGCAATATAAAAATACTTTTTTAAAGAACAGGTCAAAATCATTTCTCTTAGTAGCTAATAGTGTATTGCACTGGGGCAGGGTATGCTTAAGTTTTCTAGAACATCCGTTACCATTGCTAAATTTTAGGATTTGACAGAGCTAGCAGATGTTAGTTATTATACTTTTGCAGATTCTTGCAGATTTGCGTGAATTTGGTTAAATGTTCAACTTTTTACTGGTCATTCTGTGTCAAATCAACAGTTCTGAGATACGGCAAATTCAATTAAGTGTTTATTTATGTCAATTTTTATAATTTTATTTCGCCTGCATAGCATGAAAAGGCCTCGATTCAAATGTTTGAACATTTGATAGAAGAAAACAACCTAGAGAAAGATTTTGAAGAATACAATTTGACGCGACAGGATAGAGATTTTATCAAAGAACAATTTAATGGACCTTTAAATGAAGATAAAGTAAGTTTATTATTATAGCAATGGATTAAAGGGTTTAGATAAATTAAGTTTATTATAATATCACTGAATTAATTAAAAGGTTAAGCATATCGGTAGTTATTGATATTTACATATTCAATTTAATTAAAATGATCCGTTCAAATCATAATATTATCTGTTTATTGTGGATATTAGTTCCACGGAATTAATATTAGTAAATATTACATATACAGATTTATTTCTAGTCGTAGAGTTCGGTCACTAAGTTATTTGGTTATGAACAGTTTAAACAGCATTGTAATTGAATACATTAAAATAAAACACAACATATCTATGGGAAATAATTATTGTATAATAATCTGAGATCTATTTAAGATACAATAATTGTTTTGGTTTTTTTTCTACGACTACATTGAAATGTGGTCGTATATTGTGGCGGCTCTTTTCCGCTGTCCACAATTGCTTGTGGACGTTCTAGAGGCTATACGTTAATATCAAATGTCACCCAACAGTCCGACTCTGTTCATTAATTATTTGTTTTTGTTTCAGTGACGTATTTTAAAAATAATTTATTATAATTCTTTTATTTTGTTGTGAAATCTACGTTACATGTACTGGCATTTTTGGGGGGTGGGGTGGGATATTTCTAAGGGTGACAAAATGTATCACAATTCCATTCATATATTATGTACAGTACATTAAACAAATATATTATTTTAAGACTTTATTTCTTTTCCCGCAAGCTTATTTTTGTTTGTTTTTTGGCAACACATTAAATTGAAGAAAACTGCACACAGGAAAAATCTATAGTAAACTATAATATGAATAAAAGACATCTCCAATTTGTGAAATATGTAGTATAGAACATTTGTACTACATTATTATGTAGAAAACTATAGTGTTTAATAAAATGGTTTAAGTGTATATATAAATTATACAGACAACTATAGAATGCCCATCTGTTAAATGTTGAAAGGTAGGGCACTGGTTTGAATCCCATCATGGGCCGAGAAGGGCCATCAGGATTTTTCAATCCCAGCTCTCTTTACCCCCCCCCCCCTTTCAATTACCATATAGCATGCGCAGGAGAACCGCGCTACATGCCAACCATCTTATACAAGATAATCCTGTGGACAAAACACACCACATTGACGATATTACAAAAAATAAAAAAAAAAGTGAATGGATCCGCGGGCAAGTCGTAAGAGTCCACTGCGCTCTACAGTTCCTTGCCTGTAATGATGTTAGTCTAACAGTGACCAAAGAATTGTGTTCATAATAATTTAATACATTCATAAAGCACACAGACTCCAGCTAGTGTAGCTGTTCAGTGGGGCTGGTTATACAATGGTATTTTTGCAATTACAATATAACAATTAATAGGCCACATGTCTAAATGTTAATAATACACGATTTTCCAGTCTATGAAGCTTTCCTCTAATTTTATTGCAATTATTTGAAATTCATACCTGATTTGATAAACTGCTTACTATAGCTTATATTACTGGCACTTACTCGCTTAAATGTTTTAATTCTATTTGATGTCCATCTTAGATAAATTAAATTAATTAGCTGTCGTGATATCGCCATGGAAAGAAGGTAACATCACATGATAAATTCAGTAGAAGTCAGCTTTTTTACTAATTAAATTTTCGTCGACAGTGGAACACAAAATTAGTCCTTTCTCACTCTTGGTTTTATCGATGCACTATTTTAAAGGTCACAAAAAATATTTACCTGTCAACATTTTTTAATATTTTTTTTTATTTATTCCAGATTTATAAAGGTCGACCCGACAAGAAATATCTGTATGAAGTAAGTTCATAAAACAATTTTTTGTGTCAAGTAAGTTTATATAAAATACATACAATTGAATGGGTATCTGACAACCATTGTAGACTGTTTGGCGACTTAGCTGCCGAGGGCGTGTATGTTTTGTTTCCTGGCAACCTATATTTATTTTATTTTTAGATTGTAGCTAATAAAAGAAATTCAGTGGATGTAGATAAATGGGATTATTTTGCTCGTGACTGTTACATGCTGGGTATAAAGAACAATTTTGATCATAATCGTTTCATGCGGTTCTTTCGTGTAATCGAAGATAAAAATGGTGACCAGCAGATCTGTCTCCGTGATAAAGTAAGTCTAATTTTTATATGCGCGGGGTATTTTATTGTGTCCAGCGTCACAATCTTTTAAGAACTATACGGACTGGTCAGAGTTACCATCCCTTTTATATTTGAACTCCAGAAATCTTGCGAACATGATATAGAAAAGGGATCTAGATCGTATTGAAACATGGTCGCATTATTTATTAAGGTATTAGAAATAATTCTGTCAAATATCTAACTTCATCGACTGCTTTTTGGTCGTATTGAACTTTTAAACCATTTTGGCATTAAATTTTGACCGTCACTCGAGGAGTTGTTACCTTGCAAGTTCCAACACGTTTCGTCGAGTAAAACCTGTTGATTACTTCTTTGACTTTCAAAGAAATCTCAGTGTAATTTTTACAAATTTAGTTGAATGTTTAGAAACTTATTGAATAAGGTTCACTGGTATTGTTGGTTGTGGATGTATTAGACTCGTGAACATGCCAACATCTATGTTTATAGAACAGAGATATATTACATACCGGTGATTGATATATTCTTAGAGGCAAGTCATGATTGCGAACCCAGGCTTAGGGTACCGTGCCTATCCTTGTGAGTTTCCTGTTAATACCCATGTTTCCTCCTACTTCTTGCAGACAATCATGTGTCATTAAGCTCTTCCTCTCTTTCCCTTCCACATCATATAATTTAGGCCAGTACGAATTTATCAAAGTACCCCAATTTTGTTATGCTATTTTTGAAATTGATGTTTTGTCCTGAATTTATTTTTTCATTTTATGACAGGAGGTAGAGAATTTATATGACATGTTTCATACCCGTAAAACTCTACATAGTCGAGCTTATCAACATGCAGTTACACAGGCTGTGGGGTGTATGTAAGTATACTTCAAGATGGCACCCGAGGTGGCTGTACATGGAATGACTCTATGTGTTTCTGGATAATATCTCATAAAGTGGATTAAGTTTTAAATTTATATTTAGCAGACTGTTGTGAAACACTATAAGTATGTTAATAGTATTATAAAGTGTTCAGAATCGATTGTTCATGGATTAAGCCCTCAGTAAATGCATATCATTATTATTATTCTATACCTTTTCAAGGATGTAATCGTACTAAAAGGGTTGTAAGTTTATTGTAGCTGACCTTTGTATTTAAAAAAACACCCACCGTGGTTTGGCAACTGTTAAAACAAATTTTCAGAACGACCTTCTTGACATGGTCCTGAAACAATCACCACATACTCACGTGCAAGAACCATTGGCAGTCGGAAGTGGAAGAAGAGTAGATAGAAATCCACACTGCATTACGTATCACTGTCTTCATTTGCCGGGTGGGTGCAGAAAAGTAGGACATGGAGATAACAGTCTGTGTTTATTTCTATTTAAACTGTTATGGTGATAATAATCTGTTGTTATGGTGATAATAATCTGTTGATATCGTGATAATAATATATTGATATCGTGATAATAATATATTGATATCGTGGTAATTTTCTGTTTTATGGTAATAATAATATGTTGTTATGGCGATAATAATCTGCTGTCTTTTTTATTTAAACTAGGATTGTAGATGCGTTGATAATAGCTGATAAATGTGAAAAATTTAGAATCCTCGGTACAGATAAGTAAGTGTATTTATATTTCTCTTAAAAGAAATGTCCTAGATCTATTTATATTTCTGCTAATGGAACTGTCCCAGATTTATTTTGTGTATTTTCGTAAACAGAAATGTATATTTATACAGTACATATGTATTTCAAGTATTGGACAGATATTCCTATTAGAGATTATACTTGCACTTTATTGTAATTTGCACAGGATTACATAGCGCTAAAAATGATGCGCCAGGCCTTTTAGTGTTTTTCATCTTAATGTCGACTCGAAAGAAATTATGTTTAACATCCGCTCGGCATTTCCGGTTCATTTCCGGACTAACATATGGTTCAATTTTATTTCAATGCTTCGCTTGCGCGTAGGGTCTTTAGCATTGGTCGGAAACCGGAGGCCCCACAGAAAGCCCACGAGATTGGACAGACGACCCTACTCCTTGTCACGTACAACCAGGAAATCGAAATCACGCAATTTGACTCAATGACATACATTATGATACAACGCGCACGCTAACCATCCGCCCCCACCCACCCACCATACGTAAGAATTACAAGTGATATGTATATCTTATTGCGTTTTATATGTAATGGCAGTAAAACAGATAATCGAGACTTTATTGCACAGCACGCTACATAGCTTATGCCCGCCCTCCTGTGTAAAGAAATGTAGGACGTTATAATACCATTCCAGTGTCTGTAATAGATGACTTGTTTTCAGATGCGCTTTTTTCGAAACTTTAGATTTTGAGCGTCGTTTTCGAAGATATAGAAAAATATCTAATGACAAAATATCTCAAAAGAGGTCATAAATGTTTATGACTTCAGTGTCATTCAAGGTCTAGAATATTTTTCAGTACACCTCGACGTTTAAGTGAATGTATAGAAGACATGGAGGCGTATAAGAAACTGGATGATACAATCTTTCAGCGAATAATGAGGTCGAGAAAACCGGGGTTACAAGGTGCCAGAGATCTGATAGATAGAATCCAGAAACGTCAGTTATACCGATGTGTTGGCTCGACGCATCGTCCAGAAGGTCTAGATAAGGTGAGACAAGACAAGTAGCTCGATGTCGGATTTCTAGAAGCTATCTTTCAAATCAATTAATTGCTTGTTTTCTTTTTAACATTAGTAGATTTCCTCTCAAGACAAGTAGCTCGATGTGGGATTTCTAGAAGCTATCTTTCAAATCAATTAATTGCTTGTTTACTTTTGAAGATTAGTAGATTTCCTCTAAAAATAACTGTAAATATTTCACTGCAGGAAACAAAAAAAGCAATCAAGTCCCGTTTGTTTTATTTGACATTCAAATGCTAAGAAATGAGTCTGAAAAACTTCGGCGAATAATAAATTCTAATATTTGTGTGAGCAAATGTGGTCGTATATTGCCGTCACCTCCGTCAGACAATTTTTTGTGTACACTCTAAAGGCTTCATAAAAATTTGTTATCTGATCTTTGCTAAATCTATATATGTTGTTTATATTAGTGAGACGAAGAAGCGTATTTAATTTCGGGGTTTCGATTCCCCGGTTGTATGTGACAAGGAGTAGGGTCACCTGTCCAACCTCGTCGGTTTTCTCCGGGTCTTCCGGTTTCCCCCAACTGCTAAAGACCCCTACGCGCAAGCGAATTATTGAAATAAAAAAATTGAACCATGTGTTAGTCCCGAAATGACCTAGTGGACGTTAAACCTCATCTCTCTCTCTCTCTCTCTCTCTCTCTCTCTCGTATTAAATTTCAACAATATATGTTAATTACTTCGAGCGTTGTGGGCATTGTTTTACTTTGTAGAACATTGTGGATGCTCTAACGAATGAAGTTATCTTTCTATCTGTATCAAATTTACACGCATTATTGAAATTAGTCAAACGGGGAAGTCTATATAATTTGAGCGATCTCCGTTAATAACTTTTAGAGTTACGGTCCTTAGCTGCTGTGTGCGTATGTTGTGTTGCCTGACCGCCTATCTTTATTTGACAGAAAGAAGATAAGAAATTGCTCGAAGAAATTGCTGAGTTGGATGGTGAATTAAAACCCGAATTTCTTACATTGGCGGTTAGTCTATTTATAGTTTTATGAAAGGTGTTCTTATGACAGATCTTATCGTTTGAAAATGTCACTAATGTCAGAAGTCATTGATGCCCCCCCCCCCCCCCTCGAAAATTGGCTCCTTTCGCATATCTTTTGTAGAGTTTCATAAGGACCCCAACAAAAGATTACAAATAGGGCATCCTTTGGTGCAGTGGAAATTTCGGAAATTTGAAAATCAGGTACATTGTCTACTATAGCCTACCCAATAACTCTTTATTGAATTTTCAACGACAATTGGGGAAAAACTCGCTAATCTATTTTTATTGAAGCACTCATTTAAGTTTAGAAATTACTGGTGTCATGGAGCGCTAGTCTTGTTGTGAAACCGAAAATTAAGAATGTGTTTCCTGGGCTGGGAAATCCTGGAACTTTGTCACCCAACACCGGGGTCACACCCGATATTTTCTGGTTAACCTTCACCTTTTTACACTGAGCCACCACGGTTCCCTTATAGTCATGATCTAAATACTTTATGGATTGTTGCCCTTGGTTGCCTACAAAAGAATAAATATGGGTCTTCTCTGACGACATAACTGCTGTGAACATTTGTTTCTTTTCTTTACCTAACAACCAGTGTGTTCATTATGACTATGGTATGAAGAATAAAAATCCGGTTGATAATACCCGATTCTACACGAAATCCAAGCCTAATGAGTGTAAAAGACTTCGGAAACATCAGGTAGGATTTTACGATTGTTTACGATTTATAAACATCGTCTGTGTATACATACGCTGCTTTTGTATAAAGGGTTTAAATGTTATTTTATATCAGAGCTGGAAGTGATAGTCGTTTCATAGCTGATGCATGACAAAGCCTAGCGGCGCCTGAGCAACCTTTTGGGTTTTCTCTGGGGCATCCACTTTATTCCCACTGCTAAAGACCTCTACCCACAAGTGAATACAATAAACAATGTGCCATATGCTAGTTCCGTAATAAACTGATTTGTTTCGAGGGGACATTTAAAACTACAAACTCTCTCACTTAAACTAAGTCAATGGAAACCATGGTAGCTCGATAACCAGGACATCCCAGACTCGAACCTGATGTTTACTGACAACATCCCTTGAGATTTCCAGTGCAGTTTCCCCCTTGTCAGTGGTGGAGGACAGGGTTGCATAGCAAAGACAGCTTCTATAGTCATTTTGATGCGACGAACAACTGAAGTCCCGCCTACAGATTGGCGTGCACATAAAAACATTTGAAATTATTAGAATTAGATAAAGAGTTATTTAAAACTCCGTAGTCAAACGAAAATTACTTCTAGCACGCCACATGGCTTATATTAGTCTTCATAAGCCGAGTTGGGGCAGGTGAGTAGAACTTTAAACCCTATTTGACTTTAATTCATTTCATTTCTAATATTCTTTTCAGGTTTCTCAGTTGCTTCCAGAGCATTTTCAAGAAGATATGATTCGTATCTTCTGCAAGGAACATAATCCACAAATCATCCAGGCTGCCAAATCAGCTTTCGAAAAATGGTGTTTTGAAAATGAATTGGTGGCTAAGGTAGTTTATTATATTGTATTGAATATTGCTGTCGCCGTTTGGGCAAAATTCCACAGATGGACGTCACATGAATATAAACCATCTTTTGTTCTGTAATTATTCGTATATGTGAGGAAACCACGGTGCCTCAGTGAGTAAGGCGCTGGCTCGCTAAATATGAGGTCCCAGTGTTCTATCCAATGTAATTTGCTGTCTTGGTTTCCGTTTGTTTGTGCTACAGGAAGAAAAATCTACAGTTTTAATTTGTTTATTTTACAGACTGACAGATGGGTTTTAACACCAGCCAAATCCCATGATATGATGAGTTCGAGTCCGGCAGATTCGGCAACTACAACTAGTCCCCATATTGGCGACAAAGATAGAATTAAAAAAAACATATTCGCCATTAATAGCAATAAGGTATTGTATACATATAAATTTCAAGTATTTCACTTCGTTTTATAATAACAAATTTTTCACATTTAATAATAAAAAAAGATATTTTGATAACTTCATAATAAATATGGTAGACATTGTATACTGAGCGCCATGGAAAACGCATTACTTTTTTCCCCAAATATTTTATTACTAAGTGGTTTTGTATGTATAATATTATGCAATACTATGAACTATTGTTTCACACAATGCTCCCAAACGCAAAAAAAAATCTCGGCCCGTGTGCACAAAAAAAAATTGCACGAGATGCACATAAAAAAAGCCAATATTCACGTGCAGCATTGTGTGTGAGCCCTTTAAAAGCATGTTTTCAACTTAATGTGCAGTACATGAACTTTGAAACGTCAATCTGTCGTAATATGTTGTTGGACGTGTAAAGGAATCGAGCTAGAGATGCCGAGACTTACTGAAAATCAACGGAATGAAGCCATGGGAATGTCCAGGGCTGGCATGTCTACACGTGCTATTGCCAGACACTTCAATTGTCATCAGTCCACGATTGTAAGGTTGGTGGAACGTGTTCGAGTTACTGGATCAACACGTGACCGTCAACGTCCTGGTCCACAACGCGTTACAACCCAGGCTCAAGACCGCTACACCCGGGTCACTCATCTGCGTGACAGATTCCGCCCAGCGACTCGAACAGGTGCAGCAGTCGTCGGAAGACAAGGACCAGTAAGTGCCAACACCGTAAGACGTCGTCTAAGAGAAGTAGGACTCTGTGCACGACGACCTTATGCTGTAGCCTACCGTGATGATGTCTTGCAACCAATTGTTGTTCCGATGTTTCGAGCGCACCCACAACTTCAGCACTTCCAACAGGATAATGCACGTCCGCATAACGCCCGTTTTAGTATGGACTACCTGGCTGCTAACACCATCAATGTCTTGGACTGGCCAGCCATGTCTCCGGACATGGCACCGATAGAACATGTCTGGGATGAGATTGGACGCCGTCTGTATCGGAGACCACAGATGCACACCATTGCTGTTTTAGAAGCTGCTCTTGTCCAAGAATGAAACAATTTGCCCCAGGCCTTCTTTTAAACATTGGTAAATTCCGTGCGTGCGTAAGAGCCCGTGGAGGACACACGCGCTACTGACATCTGTGTCGTACTTTTGGTTTTGACCCCTCTGACTTTGTACCGTTGATTACAGATTAAACATCCATAAGTGTACAAATGTGTTGTTATTGATGTGTTCCCATTTGAATATTGTTCACAATAAGAAGCAAAATAAATAAGATATGTTTACAGGATCATTTTGTTATACGAAAAACTAAGTGATGCGTTTTCCATGGCGCTCAGTATATAATACCAATTTTCATTTGCATGCATAATTTTAATTTTACTTTATAATAACACATTTTCACATATTTTCCTAAAAAAACAGTTTCTCGTCATTCTGTAATAACAAAAATTATTAGCTACTTGTGTGTGATCTACACAAGTAAATCAGAAGTGGAACCAGGTGTTCTGGAAACGGTACAAGAACCAAGACCCCTGTATGTAAAAGTACCTTAAGGAAAACTGTTATACTTTTCTGTGCCAGTCGGTTTAATGAAGACGGGCATCTGCCAAAGAACGTGCTGTTAGTGAAATGTTGCCTTGATAGCTGCGTTTCCAAATATCCCTGAATGTCTAGACATAGCTCTATGTCAGACACTCGGTCATGCACCCGTGACAAAGGGACTGGCCCTAATAGATCATATATCAATTTATGTTAGAATGATTGATAAAAGTTTTATCGTTTTTCATTCTAGAAACGCAGAAGACAATAAAGATCACAGATTAAAAGAAAAGGGTGAAATGGACTCGGTGTTGTTATTTTTTTTATTTCATATCTTGTATTATTTTTTTTTCATATCTTGTATTTTTTTTTTTCATATCTTGTATTTTTTTTTCATATCTTGTTTTTTTATAGTTATTTTAACTAACTACAGCTATTATTATATAGAGACTATTTAGCTATCTATAAAGAGGTTATTAATTAATCAATAAAGGGAGGTTACTGTAATGTATATAACCGTTTTAAAATGTGTAAGTTTATACAAATAGGGGATTTGATGTATTAATTATTGAGGACATGGGTGAGGTCAGAACAAAAAGATAGAGCTAGTGTTAAAAGAGTTAACCTGATCCACTATGTTTGATGTTCAGGTTAGAAAAAAAAGGTTACACTTTGGAAAATATATTAAATTTTAAAATTGAAACTCGTGGTCATATTCAATAATTGATTTGCTCTGGCTATCTCTAAGTACATCATTAGTGGAGAATTATATAATGCATTTGAGACAAGCAGTGAAAACTATATTTTTACTAAATTTTTTACCTCTAAACTTAACACTGACTCGCTGTTTTGACTACAGCCAAATTTGTAACATTATCTTGGCTATTAATTACTCAAGTGAAGTGAATCCAACAATATGGTGTCACTCTAGTGTTTCTCTAATCTCAGCTCATGAAACTTTTCCTATTTTTTAAACATGCGCTACAATAGACCACTACCTCTGTCCCATAGGGGTTAACACTTTATCCAGGTAAAAGTAAGATGTAAAGTGTTATCTTATTTTCATAAAATGTTGGGTTTTTTTCGTCTAATATCATTATTCCATATTAAAAATAAAGCAAGAATTATCGAAGCAGGATAAGCTGAAGCCATGTTTAAATGTGTTTCGGATAACACCATAATAGTGTTGTCTTGAGACTCTACCTTGTAATTTTATCCACAGTTGAATGGAAATAAAGTTGTAATTATCTCCCGTTTTGCCTTAAAACTTTTTTAGGTCAAAAGTTAGGAAAATAGATACACCAGTGTTACATTACGTCATAATTATTATTCCAACACTACATTTGATCTCATACATTGTAAATTATTTCTTGATTTCACGACATCTATCAGTATTATAAAGCCCACAGTTTGATGTTGGGTAGGCAGGACACTACCTAAGAATTTCACATTGATAACAGGAACTTGCCATTTAGTGTAATAATAGCATTTGATGTCTCAAATCAGTTTTAACAATTTGAGAGTAAAATGATAATTTGTTGCCATCTTAGGAAATCAAATTCTTCACTAATTTTATTGAAACAAACTATTTGTGATTTGGAATAACATATTAAGACATTATAGTAGGCAATAAGGTATAAATGTTAATATTTAGCTGATAATAAAGATAATTATGCCCCCCCCCCCACCACACCTAAAAAAAACATTGGGCGTGTTTGAACACACCAACGACCATGTTGTACAATAAAATGTCCAAATTGATAAGGGCGTAAATATGCAGTCTACAACAGTTTATTCAACCAGAAATTACATAGAAGAGGCAGTAGATCTTGTGTCAACAGTAGATCATGTGACACGAGTTGATCATGTGACACGAGTAGATCACGTGGCAAGAACAATACAGGGTACTAATAAAATACAAGAGACAATTCTTTTAGGCTTACTTTACAAACCAACCTCCTCTTCTTGAAGTTCTAAATAAAGAATTAAAATTTAATTTGCATCAGTTAGAGTTAAGGTATATTTTTTTTAAAACATAGATAATGATGAATAAACAATTTAAAGCATACTAAAACTGTGCAGAACGACCAATCTATAAAAACTTTATCGAAAAAATCAAGTAAACTTTCTGGCGAGGCACCATATTTATTCAAAACATCCGCTATTTGACCACCTGCCTTAGTCCAACTGTCATCGGTCATCCTATTCTGAATCATTTCTTTCAAAGAACTTATTTCCAATCTTAATCTTTTCTCTGTCACATGACATGTTTATTGAGAGAGAGAGAGAGAGAGAGAGGGGGGGGGGAGAAATGGAGTTTAACGTCCACTCGACATAAACTAGGTCCTTTCGGGACTAACATTTGGTTTAATTTTATTTCAATAATCCGCTTGGGCGTAGGGGTCTTTAGCAGTGGGATGAAACCGGAGGACAGGCGACCCTACTTGTCACGTACAACCGGGGATTCGAAACCACACCAGTTGTTGACTCAATGACAGGCCTTATGATACAGCACGCACGTGCTAACCATTCGGCCATTTCACCCCCCCCCCCGACCATGTTTATTGAAATGTATAGCCTCATAGCAGTCCTTACCCTAACCCTACCTATTAAAATAGGCATACACTGGGATGATTAATTGTACAATAATATCCCAAATAATGTACTTAGAATGTACTTAGAAATATACTATTATCTTAAGCATCAGCAAGTGATAATGTTTCAGCTGCTAGTAGGCTTTATAGATGGGTTCCTGCGTAGAAACTGGGTGATTTAATGGTATATATGGACTAAAAACATATTCAAACTAATTAATTTGTCATAACTTTGCTTCAAATCCTTCTCAAACACTGTAATTGCGAAGGAATGTCCTGTTATAAAAATTCGATCAACCCAGGTCATGTTTACGTCTCGTGACTTACCTCTCTTTGAAGTCAGAGGAGAATTCGTTGCATACATAAGACGATGTTGTCTTTAATCGCTTACTATTTATTACAAATATCGAATCCTAATTAAATTCTCCGATTATCCACTACCCGCGTCTTTTTCCGTCATTTTTATCTCAGAAAGTGTTGTACGTCTAACTCTTCATAAAGTTTATCAACTTGAACATCAAGCGCTCAATGTCCGCGTGTGACCTTTGACATCACGCGTGCAGAAATTAATAATCGTCGGGCTGTTGATTATAGAGCGGGAGCCCAGGGGGTTAACCTAGCTGAAAAGTGTACCAATTTTCTCCTGTATGGATCAATGTAGGTGTATCTGGTATCATCAGAATGTTCCCTTTCTGGGAACCCATCTTTAAACAACTCTTCGAGTTGTCTTTGACTGCCAGGAAATAGAATAAAATTGTCCATTTGATCCACCGAGTAAAATTTTTAGATAAATTGCCAACAGATGCATCGCTATAAATGATAAGTTTCAAGGCACCAGATAAATGTCTATATTTTAAATCAACACCATTACATTAAACATGACGAATACCTTTGTTGACATCATACAAATTTTCAACAGTTCCGCACTTGATTTTCGCTGACAACTGACACACGTACGTACATCAAAACTGAAAACAGGGCGTCTGTGATTTGACATCTAGAGTTATTGTCCTACTCTATTTTGGCTCGAAACAATGTCTGGGGATGATCATCTAATTTCATCGGTTTAGGAGCTGTTTATCAATATCAATCAACTCGATATGCTTGGCATAATCCGTTCGATTCATGAAAATTGTTTCATCATTTTGTGATAATTGGAGACCGACATACCTAAAACCATAAGAATTCCATTAAACGAAGTTAAATTTTAATTTATGTAGGTAGACTTTAACAAATACCCCCCGCCCCTCCCCCACCTGTGTCTCGGTATACTTTAACACATATAATTATCTGTCAACAAACTATGTGACCTGTTTTACACGTGTATAATGTTTCCAGTTCCTGTTGATTTTGTTACATAAATGATACCGAATTAGAAATTGTTCCGTTGATTATTTAGGCTATATTTTCCGAAATTTCCATCCTCTTTGAGTAACATCTGGTACCACTTCTCAATTGAGCTTACATAGCTGATCATTATGTTTAGAATGATTTAAAACGGTGTTGTGTTTATATCATTTGGCTTATTGATTTAACTTACCGACTCGAATGTATATTTCCTAGCGCATGTGCGAAACACATACCAATATATCACTATACCTGTATATTCTGTTTGACGTCTCTACAACCTTTTATCATAAGAATTCACCTATTGTAGAGTTGCCTGGTGAAATAATTCTTCCTCTCTTTTAATGGCGATGTCATGCCAGCTGTCTGGGATAGATATAAATATTAAAGCCGCCGAGACGTAAACAGGGTTAGGGCACGTAATTATTGATGAGTTTGTGGGTTAGGTTAGGGTTAGCTCTAGCCCTGTTTACATCTCGTGACCTTTGACCAAATCTGCAGATGGCCTTAATAATTAGATCTAAATATTAAGGCGAACGACAGATTTGGTCAAATGTCATATGTAAAAGGGGCTAGCGCTAACCCTAAACCAAGCTCTAACCCTACCCCACTATCTCGTCAACAATCACGTTCCCTGGCCCTATTTACATCTCGTGACCTTGACGAAATCTGCAGTTGTCCTTAATATTAAGACTTAGCACTACCGGGTTCCAGTTAATGCAAGGGAGATAAATCTATTTTATTGTTCATGGGTTCAGACTAGTAACTTCCTGCTCAATCGACGCCAATCTGTATTTATACGCTCATATTCAGATGTATTATGTCGTCATCCGTGGAAGACGTTAAATGGTTAGGCCCAATTAATGTCTATTTCATTGGATGATTTGTTTGCGTTATAACAATCTATCTTTATTCATATCTTTCACCCATTGTGTGTTCCACAGTCGATACAAAACGCCATATCAATGCACATATCAAACTGAGATTAGTAAGCAACCTGACTGCCGCTTTTGCATCATTTAAGGGCTGAATTTGCCTATGGCGGCTCTTATATCTTGCTTCAAATGTGACATAATTAATTAGTTATACATATATGTATATTCATATGGCAAGCCCATATTCAACTCTATTGGCCATAGAATGACCAAGATATGTAATGGATGAGACCAGTCGCGCAATTTAATGTTAAAATGTATAATTGAGACTTTGTTATATTATATTATCGTAGCAATATTACTTGACAAAACTTCGAACGCTCATAACTTCGGTCAAAATAAAGTAGTTTGACTGAAATATTTAAGTTATTTTTCATGATCTATTTTTGAACTATTATAGCAAGAACGAAAATCTAAATTTTATATAATGCATCTTTAAATTACAAAACCAGATGGCCTAAAATCAGATCCACCCAATTTAATACTTAATTTTGACCTGAATCAACGAGGTCAAACTTCTTTAACAACTTATCAGAGCTGCCATATTCATTAGCCAACTTTGCATAAAAAAATGCATAAAAATTTTCATTCTGCGCCTCTATTTTAACATGACCACTGTAAATAAAATTGAGACATTTCGTGTAGTCAGATTCTATTTTCAGAACGTTTGGGGGATAAAGAAATTCACAGACATGAATTAGGTTTAAGAATATTAAGTGCTGTCCTCAGCTGTGTCACCTTCGTGGACGACGAGGAAATTGTTGGCACCAAAAACCTAGGACCCCTAGCATGCACATTGATGTGCTAGTAAAAAAAAAAAAAAATCATTTTTGCCGGATTTCGAGGATTTGGTCGATACGCCACTGTTAGCGATATTTGATTTGAGAGGTTCGTTGACTATAGATCATAATACCAGTCATCACATCAAGTGTCGTGAGCTAGATCTCATGAGTCCATGAATCGGGGTTTTCTCCAGGACCCCCCCCCCCCCCCCGCCCCCCTTTCCTCATGCCCCTTGCAGGATGAGGTAGAATCCATTTACGAAAGTGTTTCTGAAGTTTTGCAGGGTGATTTAGTATTTTGAGAAACTCGTACAGGTCGTGTTGTAAAGTCGAACGAGTCATATTCGTCTCCCGGAAATCAATTAATAAAAGGATAAAAGCGACACTTGGGAATAATGTTGAGTACACGTTGATTTAATTATTCAAAAATACGTTTTGTTCTGGAAGATCCGTCTTCTTCATTAGCCCAGTGGGAACAGAACAGTAGAATGTTATACGCCATTTCATTTATTAAATCTAACAAACGTCCTTTCCATATTCAGAAATTGTATAACTATAATAGTGCAGTTTACTTGGAGAATTGTGAGATGTAAC